CTAGCAAGAACACAGCTCTGCTGATGGGGCGGGGGGAGCGTGTGTTGGCAGATCTCAAAGACCTCCTGCCCTGTTAGTCACCGCCGGCTGGGCGGGCCCGCCCGCACAAAAGCAGAGGCTGTGGGACCAGCGGGGCCTCACGGCACCTGCCTCTCTCCACCCCAGGGTCTCTGGGCTTCCTCGCCTTTCTCTGCACTCCGGGGGTCTCTGAGCTCCCCGCCTCTCTCCACTCCGGGGTCTCTGGGCTCCCCGCCTCTCCACCCCACTGCTGCTCCTGTTCGTGTCCACCAGCTGGACCCCAGAGAGACCCTCCAGAGTGCTGGAGAGGAATCGTGGCTTGTTGAAAGCCTGGGCCGGGTGAGGATGTGTGTGCATATGTGGGCAGGGGTGTCTGCCGAAGTGTGTGCGGGGACCTGCTGCCGTGGTCTCTAGCTGGGGGCCTTGTGGACGTGGGCGGGAGGGACTGCCACCTCTCTCTGGATGCATGGTGGTCCTGGGGTAGAGGAGTGCTAGAGCTCAGCCCTGGAAAAGGAGGTGCTTTCTGCTTCTGTCGGCAGGCTTGCCGTCCAGCAGCGCACATGTAGCTGACAGGCTCGTGTTGTGCCTCTGCTCTTGTTAGGAGGGTAGAGTCCGTGCGAATGTGTTTTTTGCCTCATTAAAAAAAGTATGAAGAGAAATTATTAATGGCTTTGAGTGGATGTTTTTCCAACAGCTCGATAGACTTCTGCGTAGGAAAGCTGGACTGCCTGTTGCTCCTTCACACAGTGTCTTGAGAAATTCTGAATATCAGAGACAGTTTGTTTGGAAGACCCCTAAAGAAACTGCTCCGGTGTTTGCAGCCAATCAGGTAGTGCAATGGATTCACACGGTTCTGAGTGTCGCCTTCCAGTCTAGCGATGTAGCTTTGCATAGAAGGAGGCGTTGACAGAGGTCTGAGGTAGGTTCCGGAAAGCAGGGAATGAGCGTTCCGCTGACCCCTCATTCCTCCTGATTTATGGCAGTAACATTATGCCGTCCTAGGCTGCAGTGGCTGTTGCTGCCAGATCGTCACGTATGCTAAGTGTGAGGCAGGGCAGTGAAAGCCTGGCCACTGGTAAGTTGGTGCATGCAGTACGATTTTTTTATTGATTAAAAAAATCATGGCATTGGTTTTACTCCCAAATGGCGTGTTTAGCTGACTAGTCTATTGCATGGTTTCTGTCTTGTAAGAAAGGCATCACTGCTTTGGGTGTTTGTTGAAATAAATATGAAATATGTGGAAAGGACACACCACGTGTAATTGTGTCCTTGTATCTGATAAACAGTAGTAGGAGCTGTCCGTTTAGCTATATTTGTAAAGTTCAAAAACCATATTGGTATGACACTGGAGTTTGTACACTCTTGCACGTCTTGGTTCAAGCCACTGTGACTAGTAACACCGTTTTGCTGCCATTGTCCTCTGGATGGTCCTCCGCTGTGAGCCGTCCTGGAGGGTCCTTCCAGGAGGTCCGGCCAAGTGGAACGCCTCCCTCAGCATGTCCCAGAGGCTGTGATGGCTTCGTCTTGGCCTCCTCCTGGCCTTGGTGCTTTTCCTTAGACATACACACGGCCACACGCCCGCACTGCCTTGTCTCTTGTTCCACACCCGAGTGCCCAGCGGGCCGTCAGATTCAGCGAGGACAATAGCGTTCTCCTGTCACATGAAGAGGCACGGCGCCAGGCACCCTATGAATTGTGCCGGCTTTGGGCTTGGTTATTATTCTGTTGTTTAAACAACTTTGACATTTGAGCAACATCTGAAGCCCCTGGGAAGCAGCAGAAAGTGATGTGAGCCCTGAGTCACCTGGCGAGCGGGACCCGTGCTTCCCTGGCTAACTCGTGGGTCCTCTTGGGCAGGAAGCATTCCTGAAAGGTGATTCGCCCGAGCATTGTGATCCTCCCGCTTTCATGTGAGGTTTGACCTCGGAGGAGAGGTGGTTCATGGCACAACCTTGCTGTCTACTTTGGCAAGTCAGTGAAAGCATTGTGTGGAAATGTTGGTTTCATAGGGCAAACCACTAGCCATATCTTTACTGGTAGTTTCATTGATGAGGGTTTCAGTGGACGTGTTGGGAAGCAAATGCCCTTTGTGAGTTCCAGGCGTATCATTTGGGGTCTGGGGCGAAGAGCTCCGAGACTGCCTTCCAGCCAGCTGAGGGGGAGTGTTAGAGGAAGCCTCGAGGTCTGTTCACCAGTCTTCTGAGAGGCTGTCTCGTGTTAGCCAGAAGGACACACTGTCAGGGCCTGGCCTGCTGGAGGTGGACGCCTGCACCACCTGGCACTGACACTCCGTGGTGGGCCCCTCCCGCTTTCAGCTGCCTTCCTGGTCGTCGGTAGTAATATACATGAATCAGAAACCGGCTTGGGAAACACTAAAGACAAAAGGAAACATTTAAAAATAGAAATGTAGTCATTACCAGAACACTTTCCTGGCCTTAATAAAAAGCTAAATACAGGCAAAGGAAAAAAGCAATCTAGACATGTTGAGCATACCGCGTATTCAAAATGTTAAGAATTTTCTGTTGTTGCAGGAAGAAAAAAATTTCATGCCTAGAAGCTAAAAAAAAGCCCTTAGCGCTGGCAGGAGAGTGCCTAATATGGCCGATGTCCGTGTCATGTTTTTAAAACAGACCTGTTTTACTCGCCCTCGGGGGAGGAGGGGGATTCTGGGGGAGGAGGGAGATTCTGGGGGAGGAGGGAGATTCTGGGGGAGGAGGGAGATTCTGGGGGAGGAGGGAGACTAGGGAGAAAAGATCAGACAGGTGTCCCTGGCCGTTTACCTTGGTGTGAGATCTCGATTGCAGTAACTGTGACCAAAACGTGGTGGTGACTGCGGAAGGTTGACTTTTGGTGGACGTGGGAGAAATTATGGTCATTTGAGCTCTCCTGATCTTAACAGGACTTCAGCGACGATTTTTTGTGTCCTGGAATTCAGCTTTATATATTTTCTTAAGTAGTTAAGACCTAAGTTCCACATATTTAAACAACGAAACCAAAATAATTTCGTTTCAAGGTTTTCCACAATAAGAGCCAATCTGTTCCGCAGTTCAAAGGTAGCTCGGTCATCCACGAAACTGAATACAAAAGGAATTTCAAGGGTTTGTCTCCAGCGAAAGAGCCAACGTTAAGAAGTGACTTGAGAGAAGACGGAAGTCTGGAAGCCGTGGCTCCCGAAAAGAAGGTACCGCCACCTCGCGGCCGGCACAGGGCACAGCCCAGGGTTTGAGACTCCGCACGTTTCTTTTACTTACCGCCACCTGAGGGTCTTTTTAGCTAGTTCATTAGTCCATTTGTTCATCAAGTGTCAATTGAGCCCCCTCCTGAGAGCAGCACGGGCAGGCACTGAGGAGTCACGGCCAGTACACACGAGCCCAGGCCACGCTGGGCAGGAGGGACACAGACACGGAGATACAATTGACATGGTGTGATGGGTATGTGGTGTAGGCAGGCAGGTCTGCTATGCTCAGAAGCAAATGCTCAGCCTTCCGTGATGAGCTCCAGGGGTAGGAGCAGTGCTTGAAACACTAAGTTACAGAAGTTAAGCATACACACATGCTTGCATCTGAAACCAGAGCCTTAGCATGCGACGTGTGGCTGGTGTAGTTCACGGGATGGATCTCAGGCTGTGCAGGTGGCTGCTTCTGTGTGAAGTGACAGCCGTTTCGTTGCAGCATCAGGCTGGATTATTATCAATTTCAGGTAAACGGGGCCTAAGTACTGTGCTTTAATCTCCTGTAATGTTGACACCCGAGGCTTTATGGGTCCTAAGATAGAAAGTATATGACTAAAAGTAAAACGATCTCTGTGAAATGGTAACACACACGTGTTGGACCTATGATCTTGGGAGAAAAAAGAGTGGTTATTCAGTAAAGCAGTGTGGTGACTTACTTAGCAGGCTCTTACGTTTAACTGCTGTAACACAGTGAAATCTAGACTGTCAAGGGCAAACATAAGATCACTCTGCAGTATGTAGTCACATTACGTTTACTGAGATATGTCTTTATTGATTTTAAAATTTTCTTCCCTAGCCAAGGGTCTGAAAACTTTGTTGTTAGAAAATGAAACTGTATGCCAAGCTAGCCTTCAAAAAAAACGACCAGATATGCTAGTTTCAAAACATGCTTGTCAGTATCTTGTGACTTATGTAATCTTCAGTAGTTAAAGCCTCTAAAAACAGAAGTACGATTCACATCCAAGTCTGTACAACGTGTATGCTTTCGCTTTTTAGTATGTAACATACTTTGAGCATCAAAGGCTTAAATTGTCTCCGTTTTAGTGTAACAAAGCAGACGGCCCTTCAAGACTAGAAGCAGGGATGGAAGGAGAAGCCTCGAGCCAGCCCAAGAAGCTCAGTCCCTGGAGACATCAGAGGCTTGGGTGCGTGCTTCGGTGGGGGCGTGCCTGTGGTGCTGGGCGGTCACTGTGGCGGGAACGCTTACTCTGGTCTCTGTTAGGAAGGTGAATTCCGAGTACAGAGCCAAGTTCCTGAGCCCGGCTCAGTACCTGTGCAAGGCTGGGGTGTGGACCCGGGTGAAGGAGGGCGCGGCGGGGCAGGTGAGTGCACAGGGTTCCCTCGTCTCCACTCCAGGGTGATGTACAGTCAGGGTGGAGGTGGCAGCCGGGGTGGAGACATGATTGAAAAGGTGCGCTGCAGTGGTCGTGGTGCAAGTGTCAGAGCTCCACGAGTGTGTGTCGAGGACGTCGTCATCAGTGTGTTTATGCCACTGGCTTTTTAGAGATGAATATTTATTAATATTTATTGTTTTTGAAGTTAAAAGCATGTTTAAAATCAGACATTTGGTGGTGTTCATGCATTTAGTTTACAGAATGGTAGCCCTCTGGAGGTGACAACTCTGTGACACACAGCCCTCTAGTTGCTCCAATCATCAAACCTCAGGGTTTGACGATTCCATGGTGGCACCACTGACACTGTGCTGTTGCCATCTGATACTGTGCTGGCAAAGGAGCAGTGCAGCCATGCCCTTGGGGTGTGAGTGGTGGTCTTGGGTACCCTAGCTGTGCCGTTGGGATGTGAGCGGTGGTGTTGGGTGCCCTGACCTTGCTGCAGGGGTATGAGTGGTGGTGTTGGGTGTCCCGGCTGTGCCGCCGGGATGTGAGTGGTGGTCATGGGTGCCCCGGCTGTGCCCTTGGGTGTGGACAGTGGTGTTGGGTGCCTGACAACGGGAGAACCTCTGGCCCTGGAGCTGGGCTCAAGGGGAGGCAGCAGACCTCAGGCTGAGAAGTGCCACTTCAGTCCTAGCTCCTCGTGGTCAGAGGGTAGCTGGGGGCGTTTTTGTTGCTGTGTAGGTAGCAGGTAGCATCTTTTCAGCCCTGACTTGACAGTTTTTGGTGTCCTGCAGAATGAGCTGAATCACAGTGTTTCTGCTTAGTCCGACACCAGTGCTCCTCCCACCCCTCCCTGGCACTGCAAGCAGGGGTGACATGGAGGGGCTGCTTACAGGCACAGCCAGGACATGGGCCCTGCCGGAAGGCCTGGATGTGGAGCGCTGCTGCTTGAGCTGGCAGCTCCCAGATGTAGGGCCTAGTGCCTGCGAGCCCTGTGGGTCATTTGGGGTTGCTTGCTTCCCTCCACTCTCGCCCTCCGCTCTCCTCCGTGCGAACATGGCTCAGTGACTGACAGGCAGAGTGAAGGACGGTGCTCGGAGCTGGCCAGGTACCAGGCTGTGTTCCTGTGTCCACCTAGAAGTTACCTTAAAGCCATGAGCAGTGCCATTTTTAGAGTAACTACTGAATCTGCGTTAAATTTATTTTTTCTTAGTTGTTGGATAATCAAACTACATTGGTTGTGGTAATTTTATTCCAGTGTATCGTCCACACATAGGACTGTATTTCAAGATAAAGTCCCACAGTGGAAAGACACTTGTTATTTGATAGACATTGCAAAGACTGAGTGTAGATGCTTACACATAGGGGATAATTTTGAGGTTAAAAGATTTTTTGTTTTTACCCGTTTTCTGAGTTTGAATTTTCTGCATACGAGTTTTAAACAATCTTGTGGAATTCTATATTTGGGAAAAGAGATTCAAAAATGGAAACATTGTACTTACAGTATTTATATCATGTAGTCTGATGACATTACTTGACCTGGAAAGGCATCTGTGTGTGGTTTTAGTTGATTTGGGAATGGCTTATTCCTGTCTTCCTTGGAGACTCTGGTTGGTGGCTGTAGGGTGTGTTCTTTTTTTCCCCCTTTTGAGTCAGTGTCTCACTCAGTTGCCCAGGCTGGAGTGCAGTGGCACCATCATGGCTTACTGCAGCCTTGACCTTCTGGGCTCAGGCGATCCTTCCGCCTCAGCCTCCTGAGTAGCTGAAACTACAGGTGTGCATCACCACTCCTGGCTAATTGGGTTTTTTTTGGTAGAGATGAGTCTCACTGTGTTGCCCAGGCTGGTCTTGAACTCCTGGACTCAAGCAATCCTCTCACCTTGGCCTCCCAGAATGTTGGGATGACAGGCGTGAGTCACTGCGCCTGGCCTGAATAGAGATTTTAAGCAGATTTTAAGGGCGGAGCTTCAAGGCATTTTTGCACTGTGGAGCTGCACGTGGAGAGGCCGGCAGGTGGCAGCATGACGCACAAAACGCAAGGGCTCCAAGGGTGTCAGGTGCCTTCCTGAGAAAACACAACTTGCATTTTAGGGAACTCCACTCGTCTTGTAGTTCATCAGAACATCGTTTGTGTCCTGTCACCTTGTTGAACATATCACAGTGATGGTTTCTGGGCTGCTCTTTTGAATGCTGGGATGGGGGTGGGAGTTTCCTTCCAGGGGGAGCCGGGAGGGTGATGGGGGAGCCTGCCGTCTGCTGCGTCCAGCAGCAGGTTCTGTTGCTGCCTTCCGCGATGGCAATGAGGTGTCCTGGTTCACTGAAGTACCGAGAAATCCTCGTGGACGAGGTTGTATATACTTATAAGGGGAACCGCCAGGCACTTCACTGACCTCCATGACTTGGCGTGGCGCTGCCCAAAACTAAGCGTGTTTCTGTGTTCCTCCCCAGGGCGCTCTGAATGCCATGTGGTATGCAGAGGTTGGTTGCTTTTGAGCTTTGAAAAACTACATTAATGCGTAGCGTGCTTGTGTAATTCTGCTGGAGTCGAAAGTAGGTGTCAGCCTTCTTCTTTGCTGCTAGAATTTCTCCCTGTCGGCTGGTCTGAAATAGAGTAACTACATTGTGCTTCCTTCCGCTTGATGTTTTAATTTCTGCTCAGACACGCCCCGTCTGATGAGCTGTGTGGCTGTGGCTGCCGTCCCTTGTCCTTGGTCTCTGGCTGTCACTGTGTGCTGCCTTTGATACGCTATGTGTGATATTTGGGAAGGAGCATTTGCAACAGTAATTGACGTCTGGACTCTTCTGTGTAGGTTAAAGAACTCCGAGAGAAAGCTGAGTTTTATCGGAAGCGAGTCCTAGGAACACATTTTTCTCGGGACCATTTGAATCAGATTCTGTCTGAGAACAACCGCTGCTGGGACGTGTCCTCGACCGCCAGCTCGGAAGGGACTGTCAGCAGCAGCATCAGAGCGCTGGATCTCGCGGGGTGAGGCGGCGTCGTGGGTGGGGGAGTGTGCCGATGTGTCGGGGTGTCTGGTGGTCAGGGGAGACGTGGGAACATGCCCCGACTACTCACGAGGTGTCCCCTAGTTGGGTGGAAATGTGATAGCCACTGGCTTTGTTATTTCCAGCTTATTCCCTAGTAAAATAAGCAACGGAGACTCACTTTATGTGTCTGTGTGTAAGTAACGCAGAGTGTAAATCCAGAAGGTGGGGTGTTAATAGCAGCGGGCGAGGGGTGATTACACGGATGATAGAAAAGGATGTTAAAGGGCGAGAAGGAGCGCCAACAACCACAGCAAAACTGGGAGGATGTGAGCTGTCAGTTCCTACCATCATCTCGCTGTTGGATCTGCTTGGCTCCTGGATTGTGGGAGAATTGTCTGCTGTTTGGGTTTTAAAGCGAACATGTATCACTGTAAGAGAAACAGCACGTTGGTTTATGGCAAATAAAATAGTTTCAGTTGTGATTGTATATTAATATAGTCGTGCATACCAAATTAGCCTATACGTTCTTATATGTGACCTAGCATTTTAAAAGTTCCTTACACGCTAGGCGTGGTGACTCACGCCTGTCATCCCAGCACTTCGGGAGGTGGAGGCAAGAGGACTGCCTGAGTCCAGGGGTTTGGGATCAGCCTAGGCAACACGACGAGACCTCATCTCTACAATAAATCAAAAAATCAGGCAGGCGTGGTGGCCTGCACCTGTGGTTCCAGCTACTTGGAAGGCAGAGGCAGAAGGATTACCTGAGCCTAGCAGGTTGAAGCTGTGGTGGCTGCGAGCATGTCACTGCACTCCAGCCTGGGCGATGGAGTGAGACCCCAGCTCAGGGAAAAAAAAAAAGTTCCTTACAAATCTATTCTTTAAGACTGTATCAGAAAGACACATCTGAAGTATTGAGTTTGAGTCCGCTTATTTGATTCCACATAACTTGGGCGTTGCACAGACCATCATTGAGCAACTGGATGAGTTGGACTGTGGCATCCTCAATGGTAGCTGCCAGCTGAGGGCTGAGCAGGACATCCGCGGGGAGCAGGCGTGTGTGGAGGTGGGAGTGAGAGAAGATGAGCATGCCATATTTGGGGATCTCTTAATAGGAACTCCAGGTTGTAACTGGCACCTGTTTATGAAATGAGCTCTTAATTAGGTTTCTTCCTTAGCCGGCTCAGCAGTGTGGGTGGAAGATGTGTAGTCGTGAACAGTGGAAGATGACGGACTCACTGAAGTTGGTGTAAACGAAGAAATGCAGAGACTCTGACTTAAAATAAAACTTGCTTTCTTGCGCAGAGATCCTACCCTCCATAAGACTTTGCAGAAATGTCCTTCTACAAAACCAGAAGAAAAAGGAAGGATCTTGGAAGAACAGCCCCAGAAAGATGGCCCGGAGAAGCAGGGTGTGTCGGATGCCCCCGCACCTGTCCGAAGGCGGCTGGCGTGGGACGCGGCGCCCACCACAGAGGATGTGCAGAAGCAGCCCGTAGGGGAGGAGGAGGAGGGCAGGAGGAGGGCTGCGCAGGTGCCGGGGGGCGAGCCGGAGGGGGCGGCCATGCGAGAGAAGCCCCAGGAGGACGGGCTCCCCGAAGGGTGAGTGTGGGGCTGCCTGGCAGCCGGGGACGGGGGAGTGGTTGCGTCACATTGGCACGGTGCACACGTCTTGCCTTGTTGCTGAGTGTGGCGGTTCGTACTGTGGATTCATGACTAGTGAAGGGCAGAGTTTGCTTCAGTGTCACTGGTGGGGTCTGCTCTCTGCTTGATGAGCTAACGTGGGCGTTTACGTCTCCGCTGATTGGCAGCTGAGCCCCTACACGCTGGGCCCGTGCAGGAAGCAGTCGGGATGGTTTTCAGGTTGTGAGCCGCCAGAGTCGCAAATGTGTCAAGAAGAAGGACTTTATGTTGAGGAGAAAAGCTCTTGTCCTTTAACATCAGGCAATGCTGTCCAAAAGTGAGAGAAGATTTCGCTGCGTTTTTATTTATTTTATTTTATTTTATTTTTTGAGTTGGAGTCTCACTCTGTCACCCAGACTGGAGTGCAGTG